TTTTTTTTTTCTTTCAATTTAATGTGAAAACGGTCCTAAACGGGAAACGACGATTTTTGTTTTTGTTTTTTTCTTTCTTTTTGTTATTATTTTTTTTTTTTTTAAATAATATTTTGAATTAGAATAATAATCATAGTCGTGGCAATGGCGGTCACGGTGAGCTTGGAAGTATCCCCACAACCAGATGGTAATATTGCGTAGTCCACAACGCTGCCTGTAGATTCTGAATGATAAAAAGCGTCTCTTGTAAAAACGTATGATTTAATTTTTTTTTATTTATTTGTTTGTTTGTTTGTTTTATTTTTTGTTATTTTTATTTTTTTTTTCTTATTTCCTTTCTCATATATCGTCGAAAGTATTTATTTTACATTACGTATCTCAACATTGTTTCTGAATTTTATATTTTAATCACATTTGTGGTTTTTTTTTTTTCTTTTATCTAACAAAACACTAAACTACTAACGCGGGGATCACAAACGTGAAATCTGACAGACAAAAAAAAAATATCTATAAACTAGATAAAATAATCTCAAATTTTAGATGCATTTATTTATTCTACGCGAGGGACGAAGGGTAACAACGAAAATTATTATTAAAAATTCATCATTCTCTTGCAAATAACATTCGAAATGGAAGGGGACAAAATAAGACCAAAAAAAGATAAAATAAAATTAAATTAAATTCAATTAAATAAACAATTAATCGTTAAATTTTTAGAAAGAAATGCAACATGGTTGCGCCCTTCTCCCTGTTCATTTTTGTTATATATATTTATATTTATATATCTATACATATATATATATATATATATATATAAATTGTATACAGAAAAAAAAACAGAGACAAAAGTACGACTATTATTATTACGGTTAATAAAAAAAAAAATATACATATATATATATAAATATATAAATATAATAATATATGTTAATTGGTGTGCAAGAGCATTGTGCATTGGTTTCTCTAATAGATTAATATATTTTGAAAAGTGATAAAACTGAGATAACACATTCAATAATAATAATAATAATAAGTAGTAGTAGTAGTAGTAGTAGTAAACTATAGTAGTAGTAATAATAATATAATAAACTATATTAGATAAAAATGCATCCTTGCAAGTCTATCGAATGTATTAAAAAAAAAAAAGAACCAAAAAAAAAGGAGTATAAACATATAAATAAATAAAGATAAATAGAGAAGAAAATAAAAAAAANAAAAAAAAAAAAAAAAAAAAAAAAAAAAAAGAACGCAAGGGGGTGCGAGATCTGTGATGAAGAATAAATAAAAAAAAAAAAATACAAAAAAGAAAAAAAAAACCAGAATGATTAGAAGAAAGAAAATAAAAATAAGAAAAACTTACCCCTTGAAGTCTTGAATTTTGCAACCCCAGGCAAGCTTACTCCTATGGAATTTCGTGCCCTAACTTCAACGATGTAAAAAGTGTCAGAATGTATATCCTGTATCCAACATTTCGTCCTACCGGCACCCTTTATGGTTAACGTTTTACAGGTATCCTCTTCGGTTTCCCATTCGCCAGTCACACGTTTTACCTGACAGTATTTGACAATATAATTTTCTATGGGTTCACCATTGTCAGCTGGTTCAGTCCAAAATAGTTCGTATTGATTGCTGAACGTTGATACGTCGTATCCATTTGGTTCTAGTTTATTTGTGATGATCTTTGGTGCAGTAGGTACCGTCTTCATGGGTGTTGATTCGCGATAAAATCCACCCCAATTGCCTTGGCCAACTTTGTTTATTGCGGCAAATCGAAAATCGTACGGGGTCTGTGGTTTCAAACCTTCGAGTACGTAAATGGAATCTGAAAAAGAAATATTTATAATTAACAATGCTGTTAAACAATTTATATATAATTATTATTTATGAAAATATTTATATTTGTTGAAGTTATTTTTAGTATAAATTAAAAATCAAACTAAAGAGGGTGGAATTGATTAATTATTCATACGTCGTTTGTATTTTTTTTTGTTTAGTTACAATTAATAATTAATAGAGTTATTATAAATTCTATATATATAATAAATGTTATTAACATTGCTAAATTATATTTAAATTCTCTGCTTAGGAAAACAACAATTTGATCAGCTTTATTAATTTTATCGCAAATCACGTGCATAGTATTGATATTAATTATGCCATGAATCATTCATAAATTACAGAAGCTATTATTACTGTAGTTATTAGCTTGTTTTATATAATTATAGAAATATTCTCTTAATAATGAATATATAT